TTGTATTCAGTATGGCACGTAAAGCGGTACAGAAAGAGAGAGCATTGGACAAATACTGAAATGTTATCATCAATTTGTTATCCTCGATCAACTGATTAGTAACAATTGAAGGGTTTGCAGCAGACTCTTACTATTGCTCGAATTTACGAATATCCGATCTTGAATATCCGGATAGACACTCGATTGAAAAAATGAGAAATGTATGAAAAAAGATTGGTATTTGCGATAGAAATCTTGAATATATGAGCTCAATGATTTGAATGAAGTTCACGTACTTGAATTTAAATTTGAAATCTCGGATTCTCGATTCTTTGATTCTTAAACCAGAGTTTAAGTTATTACTATGATAACTAATCCGTGTACGTGGACAGTAGAAATTTTAGTTTGTTGCAATAAGAACAATTGGAGGACAAATTTCAGTATTTAAGTTGAATGGACTCAAAGCTAGAAGATATTGTTAGTAAAAGAACATCAGTTGATTATGAATTTCTGTATTGCGGATGTTAAAAATTTGTGAACATCGTTAAAAATATTGACTATAATATTACCTTCTTATTTCTGTTGATCTACTGATATTACTAAAAGGTGATTCTTATTGCAGCAAATCCTTCAATCGATATTCGAACGTCAACTCATCTTACCGAACAATAATAGCGCATAGACAGTTCTGGCACTAGACAACTGATGGAAAGGATCACCGGTTTTCGATACGTCAACATGTTCAATATATGTTTTTGCATTTTCATGGTACATTCGTACCACTTTAAATCATATACACTTTGTGAAACGTTCAAACTCTGCGAATTATAAAAGACTGATTGCGCTTAAAAAAATCGGAACCTGTAAATCAAATGGCTTATATATGTATATATGTGTATTATATGTATATATGATCTACCATGTCTTTCATATGATTAGCTGGCAACGCATACATATAAATGTACAGAATAAAGTACGAAGTCAAGCTTGTGTACATCACTTTCACCATTAACGGTGTATTCTGTTTATAAATTATAATTATCAGTCGATTATACGCATAACGCTCACTCCTCGAGTATTACCTACCATAGTCATCACAATGGCGGATAGTGTCATGACAAATGTGCACGTTGCTATAACAGAAAGTACCATAAAACGAAAACAATTAACCACTTCTTTCGCGTATCTAGAAAAAAAAAAGGAAGCAAATCACGTACACTGGAACATAAATGCATCGTTTAATCCAGTGGTTCCAAAACTCTGTTGGCCGAGATTTTTCATTTTTTGAACTTATACGTAAACTATATTCACTGAATGTATTCTAATTACAGAGTTTTTAGAATTTGTTAAGTAATGCAGTTACATACATGACGTACATAAAATATATAAAATGCGTGTTTAAAATAGTAAAACAGTATTTTTTATATAATCATTGCAGATGGTGAATCCACATTCTACAATAAGTGAAAAAAAAAACTATATTTTGCATAAGTACGAATGTATGTTTCGAATTATAGATGATTAAACAAAATGTTCAGTAAGTCTGCCACAAATCTCACATGTTGAAATTTTTCACGACCCGTCACAAAGATCAAATTCGCGGCCCACACTTTGAGAACCTCTGGCTCGATACGCTGATAGTAAAAACATTGTCATTACCTCTTCAAACGTAATTGTTCCTCGATGCAAACGGCCAGCATACGGATGTCGGTGCTTCTCTGCACTTCCACAATCAAGCATTCGAATCTCGCGGCCGCGAACCAAATTAAAAGCGCTCCGAACACACATAGGCACATATGCGCGCAGCATTGATAAAAAACGACGATCTGATGCGCACGTATGACAGTGCTCACTAACGTACGATTAACGTCGAATGGATATTCCATTTGTATTAAAAAGGGAAATGGAAGGATCAGAGGTCCGACAGTGAAAAGAAACACCATCGCGTAAGCAATCGCTAAATAACCTCCGTATAACGTGCTGTATCTCACGAGATATGTGCAGAAAATCTCTCTCTCGTATTGTTGGGCCTGTTTGATGCATGTCCACAACTCTTCGACTATGCACTGTAACCGATTCTTAAAGCGTAGAACTTTTTCCATGAAAAACTTGATTAGTAGACTGCGGATTTCTATGCAAATTTATATTCTTGGGAATTTAATTAAGAAAATAAAATTATCGGCAGAAATTTATTTATAATGTTATAGAAAGTACTGTACTTTAGATGTTTTTAACAGAGTGAATGAATGAAAGTATTTGCACACTCGAAATGAAAAATGATCGATATTCTGAGCCGTTGTGATTTTGTAAAAAAGAAAAAAATCGTACGATAATCCTTAGCTTTATCTTAGCAAGAAACTTCTATTTTAATAGAACGCTAAGTTTTCTTTCTCTTTAAAAATTTTTTCACATCACGCAACACGTGAGAAAGCAAAGAATAATTTATTCTCGAAAATTATAAAAACACCACTGAAAAAGCTTTTCTCGCAACTAGATTCATAACAAGATCGTTCACGATCTTGAACATCGAATTCTTCCATTCTTTGACAATGAAAATTTGTTATACGATTTTTTTGTCGCCACTTTATTGAACCCTGAACATTAGAATTTCTTAAATCTTTTCACATTACATTCATTCCCCTTAAATTTCCCTATAAACGCATAAAAATTCGCAATCCAATGATTAGGGACTCACTTGTAGATTGTCGTGCTTGTAGAAACATATAACGGTCTGAATGATACCTTGAACCTCGCATAGCAATTGGCTTACGCTTTTCGATACAACTTCCATATCGTCCGGGTACAAGTAGATCGTGTATACTGATGGCAAGAGTAGCAAGCAAACGCTAATGATTCCACAAATTTGCATGATTTTGTAGACTATGATTTGAGTTCTGCTACTGTTCACTGAAAGCGGCCAACAGAAGGTCAAAGCTACACTGAGCCAAATGATGTTGATAGCTTTCTCCAGCGTCACTTGTTTCAACATGATTTCATCATTCAAGATGTTTGACTTGCGTATATACGCCGAAAGAGACGGTGCTCGACTGAATAGTGGCACGTTATATGGATATTTATGGAGAACTGCAACACTATTACCTCGAAGCAATTACAGATATTATTGTGGGGTAATTGTCTGGTAAGAGAATGCAAAGAATTTAATAAACCACATCAAACAGCATTATTCTTGAGAGCAATATATATCGATTACTTCCATTACTTTTTATCGTTCTAACATAATTGCTGTTCGATGCATTATATATGGTTGAAACGTATTAGACACGTGTAAAAGGAGGTTACTATGCACCAGGGTAATTATTCCTATAATGTAACGTTCTTTGAAAGTACGAGATTGCGAGGGTACATTCAATATTCAGTTTCTCTGCGTAGCTCTTGCTCGAGAGGAGAGCTATAACTAAAATGGAAAGGAGACACGAAGTATTAAAATGTCGAAGTGTTATCTCGCTTCCTTGGGGAAAAAGTGATACAATTTCAAAGAAAAGAAACGACTTTCGAGCAATAATTGTAAAAATGTATGTACGGAGTGATCAATTATAAAAATTGTACAGTGACCAAAAATCTTATTCTTTATCATTTAGGAGGTAATAAAGGAATTATGTTGCTCTTCTTAATTCATGTGACATTGTGCTGTATTCTATAAGTACTTCTTATTGTGAATATTATCTGGGATATCATCGTGGACAAATGGACATTGATAAACTGAGAAATGATCCGCTTTTCAAAGTTTACTTTAAAATCGTACATTCGTTGTTAATTCCTTTCGCTAATCTGCCTTTTTGTAAATTTCTTATATTATCTGATTATTCAATTTCTCGTTTTCTGTTCTTCTCTTAGCTCTATCTGATTATTCAATTTCTCGGTTTTCTGTTTTTCCTCTTAGCTTATTTTTTACCGAGAAAAATTCTTTGCATGCCTTATGTACCGCGAGGGGTCATTTGACCCCTTATGGTCTATGTGAAATGCCGGTACGTTTAGTGTTAAAAAAAGTGTCAATGTCAGTACAGGAGAATATAAAGTTTTAATTGAAGTCTTAGCGTACATTTGATTTTCACTAATACGAAAATGTCAATTACGAGTCATTGTTATAACCTTCGTCTTATATCTTCTGGTCATAACTATGATGCACGTTTGATGATTTTGCTTCATATGATAAGAATGACATTTAGGATATATTCATGTTGAATTACCATTTTCCAATAAGACACGCAAAGCGGTGAAGATGGAGAAAGCATTGGAGAGATACTGAAATTTATTATCATGTGTTATTCTCGATCAATTGAAGAGTTAAAACTATAAGTACCAAAGAAATGAAAAGAGACAATTTTTTTTAATAAGAAAAGAGAATTAAATTAGAGAAACTGAAGCAACTAAAGTATAGTTGAATAAAACGAAAATATGATCGTGCAAATAAATAAAAATGAGATTCTTGCTTCTATCAGAAATATTTACATTGGCACTTAAATATATCATTTCACATTTTAATTCATTCGTCACGATTGATATTTAAACGTTACCAGTCTTACCGAACAGTAATAGCGCAAAGAGAGCTCTGGCACTAAACAACTGATGGAAAAAAACACCGGTTTTTGGTACAATAATACATTCAGTAAATTCTTTTGCATTTTTACTGTATGCTCGTACCATAATAAGTTGTATGCACTTGTCAAAATGTGTAAACTCTATGAATTATAAAAAAGAAACAAATCACAGATTAAATTTTAGATTGTTACAAATGAAATGGCGAAGTTTGTAATATAAATCTCAACATCTACGGTTTTCTTGAAAATAATATTATCAAACTTCAACCTTCCAGATTCGATATATTTCATTCAATTTTATAATTATTGCAACTCAAAATCTCTAATCAATCGTTGTTGGTAGTTGGTTCGTACTTATATTTTTTAATTTACATTTTTCACTATTAATAACTGATTATTGGTTCTTCTAATATAGCTTCCTATAGATTTAGTCGAAGTTCCATTTTATAAAAAAATTCAGTGAAATTTCGTGATCGAGTTATAATGAAACAATCGTCTATATCGGCCATGTTGAATTCGATAAGCTCCAAATTTTAAATCGACGTCTGATAAATATTATTCAATAAAAAACTTGTAGCCACAGAATTTTTGTAGAATTCGTCATTTCATGAGCACACATACAACATATAAACAATAAATATGGTTTACCATTTCCTTCATATGATCAACTGGCCACGCGTACATATAGACTTCCGTCAGTACAGTAACACATATGGTTATAAATTGCATCTTTACAATTAACGGTGCATCCTGTTGAAACGTGCCATTATCAGTACACAAGATTACTGTAGCGAAACAGGCTGCAAATGTCTGTGCAAATTCATATTTTATAAGTATTTGCACAACTGAGAAGACAGAAGTTAAACAAAAATTCTCCTCGCTCGATAAATATGACGAGTACTACAGTTCAAATATTTTCCAAGGAAAACCGCGAATTATTTGAACTTTCAAATTTCTTATAAACGCACAAACATCCAGAGCCTCAATCACAAGTGTCACTTACCATGATCATTATAACACCGCATAGAATCATTGCAAATGTCGTTACCGCTATAGTATAAAGCACCACAAAACGAAAGCAACTGACCACTTCTTCCGCATATCTAAAGGGAATTAAATCTCTCAGAACAAAGGGAAGATCGAGAGAAAGTATGATTGAAACATTGAGTAAAAAAACGTCAACTTTACCTCCTCAAGTATAATTGTTTCTCGACGCAAGCGATCAGCATATCGATGTTCGAACTTTTTTCAAATTCGATTGCCAGACATTCGAACCTCGCAGCCGTGAACCAAAATAGAAGCGCTCCAAATATGCATAAGCATACGTTTGCAGAACACTGATAACTGACTACCGATTGGTGCAGATATATGAGAACATTTACCGGTGTGTAATTAACGCGGAATGGATATTCAGCATCTAACGGGAAGGAAACCGGCATGATCGCAGGTCCTAGTAAAAAAGCAGTTGCAGTCAAGTATGTAAATACAATGGCACCACCGTAAAACGTGTCGCACTTTGCAATGTACTTGTAGAAAATCTCCGTTTCGTATTGTTCCGCCTGTTTGACACAAGCCACCATTTCTCCGACTACACGCTATAACCCATAGTGAATATTTGGAAGCTTTAAAATTTGAAAATTTAGACTTCGAAAGAAATCAATTCGTGGTATGGTAATACTTTTGTTAATTAGAAAATTTAATATAACGTTACTAAGGTTGGAACTTTAATTAATTGTATTTCAAAGTCGAAGTTATATAATTGAACAACGTTTGTTGTTTGGCAACAGTGTTTGTAGATCTACAGGATTTGAAAGATATTCTTCAGCGAATGATCTTTAACCATCCGCCGGCATTACAGGTCTTTCATTCTCTCGCCTGATTTCTTGTTGTCTCGGATGTTAAAAAAATTTGGAAAAATTCCGGGGCATTTATTCATAGTCTCTAATTTAATGTGCAGCCAAAGTTTTCGCAATAAAAATAGAAGTTTGGTGAAAAGGATTTGAGAAAAATTGAATAGTGAAGAAACTTAGTGACCCATAATACCAGCGAAGGATTAACCAACTGTTACACGTCTAGGAATATTCTACATAAATAAATCTGAAGATGTTGCACTTACTTGCAGGGAGTCGTGCTTGATCAGACATATAAGCGTCTGTACGATAAGTTGACTCATACCTATCGATACGCAGATACATTTCGAAACAATGACGATATCGTCCGAGTGCAAATAAGTCGAATATAACAGAGGGAGAAGCACCAAGCAAGCACTGATAACGGTGAAAATTTGCAGAACTTTGTAACCACAGACGCGAATTCTGCTACTTGTGACAGGAAGTGGCCAACAGCAACACAACGCTACGCTCAGTTTTATCATGCGAATAACTTTCTCCGGCGTGAATTGTTTCAACATAACTTCAACGAACTGGTACTCGCTTTATGGATAGAATGGAGTAAGTACGAAACGAGGAACGAGGTGAAGTATTATACGAACGAATTCCTCGATGACAGAAGACTATTATATCGCAACGTAATACGCAGATGTTCACCCTATATAGCATTATATCGCACACACGAGTAAATTAATAAACCATACCACTATGTAGACCAGAAAGCAACGTACACGTTAATAATTTCTTATAGCGTTAGCTGACTCAATGATAATAGCGAATAATTACATCATACATCGGCACAGCCTGTGATACTAAACAGCTGTTAAGGAGAAGTTATCACGCAACAGTCTCTCAGTGCAATATCTTTGAGAAAAGCAGATAGATTGCAATTTGCTTGTTCAGTCGATTGTACGTTAATTTATTCACGATACTGAGAAAAGACGGTAATTAGAAAGACGATAGCATGCGTTTCCTTTAAAATTGGTAATAACTGATAATGGTTGTTCTGAAATATGAATGTTCTGCGAGGAATCTATATGGTACACACGAGGCTCTTCAACTCATTGAGTAGCCAACGTTACATTTCAGTTGCAATTCTTTCCAATCAATTTACACTAGAAAGTTTTTTGTTTCTAATATCATGGCTATGGAAGGAAATTTGAAGAATTCACTTAAAACTTTTTCATCATTGCACAGTGAAGACGAGTACGATAAGAAAACGAAAATCGTGAAAACGAACTGACAATGATGTATAGTTAAGTATGAAATACTGTAGTATGAAAATATTATGATACTGCAAAAGTGTACTAGTGAACGATTGTAAAAATATACTGGTCTTCTTGTTTGACTTTCTTTTCGTCACAATCCAAATGTGGTATCGGTGAAGATACATGTTTAGAGTTGTTTCAAAAGTGCCTAATATATTACATATGTCCGCAGAATTTAAGCATTGGATATCGAGTTTACTATATGTGGAAGAAGAAAACACCATTGTTATACTAAATTGGCCATTTCAATTTTCATACGTGTAATATATTCGTGTATAAATAGGTATGTATATAAATAAATAAACATATATAAATAGATAAGTTATAGATTCATATATAAATAGATACATTTAATTTGCTTTCACGGATGTCTCTCATAATATATCTTTCCCCATGAAGTATAAAAGAACTATGGATTCCCGATCATAATCCGCAGAGCATTAAAATACGAGATAGACGCGTACAGGAACTGTAAAAGAAAATAATTATGAAACTGAATTTAATACTACAAGGGACATTACCTTCGCGTAATTTGATAACGATAGTTTCGGCACGATACCACTGATCCTGATAGTCTCGAGTCTGTGGGATCTCAAAATGATAAGGAATATCTTCCTTTGCATCCTGATGTCTCTGTTATACCAATCAACGTTGTAAACGATGGAAGCAATTTTCATACTCTATGATAAAAACGAAATTCAACATTTCATTCGGTTAATCGAGACACTGTGATTATTTTATTACCATGTTCATTAAGTTATCTGCTGGCCAAGCGTACATGAAGAATTCTATAGCAGCGCTGAAGACTACAGTAGCATACAGAGCTTTCAAAATCAATGGTTGATTCTGCGAATAAATTTCAGAATCATCGTTCGT